TAGCTCAGTTGGCTTTACATGGACAAATAAAATAGCTTAGTTGTATTTGTATATTTTTTGTGATTTGCTAAGCTTTCCTATACTTTTCACTCCTGTCGTGTTTTGTACTGTTTGTTATTGTAACGTTCTGCTCCACCACTACTGGACATCTGTGAAAAAGAGCTTTATAGCTCATCGGATTCCTCCAGTATAAATACATATTCTGATTCCAAGCTATGCCACTGCCTCCTCCATCCACTTCTAAACCGAGTTATTTGGGACCCTACTTGGCCACGGAATCTTGAGGGAGGAGACACGAGGCCACCATCACTGAGCAGGAAGCCATCTACCTCTCCCCTCTTATCATCCCACTCGACTCCCTCTCACGTCGCTCGCCGCTCAACAACCCTCCGTTGACCTCCACTCAATGGGAGGTCGCGCTTTGCCGATGCTGCCCGCACGGTCTGAACTCCACCCGCCCGCCTCGCCCCTGGTCACCCTTCTCCGAGGGCAGCTCAAGGAATCCCTCTTCAATTTTGATTTAAAGCTTTCGTGACTGCAGGGATTCATCTTCTTGGTTCTTTCGGTAAAGTCACGTAGAATGGAAATAATAAAATAATAAAAATAAAACATAATAAAATAATTCTCACGACGTTTCGGACCTGTTCTTCACCTGAGGACGGCTGCTTGCGTTGTGGCCGAAACGTCGTGAGAATTATTTTATTATGTTTTATTTTTATTATTTTTTTATTTCCATTCTACGTGACTTTACCGAAAGAACCAAGAAGATGTAATCCCTCTTCCTTTGCCTGTGACCGACTGCCTCCTATGTACAATGTGGCTTAAACATTGAAATACACAACCTCCCTGTTTCCAGTGGTTTCCTCGCTGTGCACATTTCCTGCTTTAGTACAGCGTCTTAAACGAATTTACACACATTCATGGAATTGTACCAAGCATCCCAGGGCAAGGACTCTCCTGAAAAAAAAAGAGTCTTGAGACTCGGTGAATAATTATAATAATAATCACCACATTTGTAAGGTGCAGTTCATGGGTAGAAGGCGCATTTCACCAGTAAGGCTTTCCTGGATAAACAAATTCCATTACGATTCGTCGTCGGAGATACAGCTGCATCAATCCAGACATTGCTACCATCTTAAAATTGTATATTTTTACCGATTCCGGTCAACCATGTAGCGTGACCTTGTTTAAAGGGGGTAGGGGTGGCGATATGTTGAATAAACTTTTAAAACAGAAGTTAGACGCTAAACGGAATTAAGCAAATGGCAAAATCTGCTTTTGTCCATCGTCCATTCTTCTGCGGCTGTCAACAACCCCCGTGCACACGAGGAGAGGCTGCGGACACCCCCTCCCCTACCCCCATCGCCTAATTGAACACATTCCGCATTTCGTCGTCCAGCCATCTCAAACTTTTTGCGGACGGTCCGCGTATCGAAACGAAACTTGCAATGACAAGGGACGGGTGGCCGAGTCCCCGGCAGCTGGGGGGGGCAGGGGAAGAGGCGGTGAGTCTTGCATGACCGCGACAGGCCGAGCTGCTCAGTCTGTACCCAGCTGATGATCCCCGCGCGCCACTGCGAGTGTTGAATGTCATCAGGGAAGTGTATTTGTGTCCGTGCGGCGAATGCCATTGCCGCTAATGGCGCAAGTGGACAATTGGTCCGATTGAGCGGCCCCGTTTTTCTTTATTTTTTTTAACACCGTTCCCCAAACACATAAACAAACACACCGTGCAATGCCCTCTTTAGCCCGCTTAGTCCCAACATTTGGGAGGAAATCCATTTAAAATATACAACATTTAAATGGGTGGTCGGATAACAAAAATAGGCCGAACGGGTTTTATTTGTATTTTTAACTGGTAACAAAAAAAATTCACTTTGAAAAAAGTGTGTTATTAATAAAAAAGAGTCTCACATTTTTAAACCAAACTTTTAAGCGCCCACACAGATGCCGTTGCCATAGTTGCCACCAATAAACACATCTGGTACTGTGCGCAACATTATTTCACCGCCGCCAAGTTCATGCGATCTCTGGGAACGGCACAAAAAACGTCCATTGGAATGAAACATTTTGTGACGACAAAAATTTGTTTGTGCCGGCCGTCACAAAACCAATAAATAATTAAAACAACATTCAAATCCAAAATAAAATTTTTTTTAAAAATCACGGCGCCGACATTTCTTGAAACCACGGAAATTTCTCTGCACTGTTTTGGAATTACTGACCGCAATTATGGCCGGGTCGCCGTGGCAACGTTTTTATTCAGACAAGTCGTGGCAGTGTTTTGGCGGCGCCCGTGGATTAACCGGGCAAATGCCGTGCCCCGGCAGACGATAATCCTCGTTGTGGGTCCCTCAAGAGGGACGGCCTCTCAAGGCTACAGTGCATTCTTGCTCAATGATCATCCCGTGCCAACATCAGGAGACCGCACAAGGGATATCGCCACTCTCTCTCTCTCTTGCCGCTCTCTCGCCTCTCCCTCTTTCTCTTGCCTCTCGCCTCTCTCTCGCCGCTCTCTCTCTCTTGCCTCTCTCTCGCCGCTCTCTCTCTCTTGCCTCTCCCTCTCTCTCGCCTCTCCCTCTCTCTCGGAGAGCGTTTGCTTCCATCTGCGTCGAGTCTCAGAGTTGCATTGCGAGAGGCTCCCCCCTTGCACCATCGAGCATCCATCGGGTGGCGTTGATGCCCCTTGCCCGCTCTGGGCCAGATATCGCTCGCCTCCTCATGTTAGCCGGGGCCAGGAATTGAACTCAGGTCGCCGGGTCCATGAGGCAGGTTGCTAAGAACTGCGTGTCACCTCTCCACCAATGCACACATAGATAAACAGACAAAGACAAATATTCCCCGTATAGCCTTAGCAGACTTTTGGGGGCAAGTGCTGTTAGCGAGCACCTACGAAGGCCGGCACGACACACGAGGAGGTGATGTGGCCAGCACCATACCCGGCCACCTTTGTCTTCCCAGTGGCGATGTTTACACACCGCACTAGGTACTCATTTGAGGCTGAGTCGACCTAGGGATTCCCAGGACCGGTTCAGATAAGAGTCACCGGTGTTGTTGGCTGTGAGCGTGAATCAAACTCAGGTCGCCGAGTTCCTAGCGCAGCGCGCTAACCGCCACGTTACCGCTCCCCATTGATTCACACACCATAACAACAGTATCCCAATCTTACAAAGTACAGGAAACAACCAGTTTAATTGAATCGTCACAACGTGAACCACACATGGCTCCATATGTGCGTGCTCAAACATATATCAGGGTATTGCCTATCTCCTATGGAAGCTGAACACAATTCCACATTCTCATGGTAGGAGCCAGTCTCTCGACAGCACAAGCAGTATTTTACAACATTTCCCGTAATTTTTTTTGTTATTTATAATGCAGTACTGGCAGTGCGATACAAACTTTTCCTCTCAAGTCTCACCCCGAGTCTCTAATCTTTTACGCAGGAAGATCCTACAGTGAGAGAAGTCGTCCCAAACAGGTCATAGTGCGGATAAGGCGTGCCATCCCATCTGTGCGGATTATTTGGTGTTATCCCCTCAAAGTGTGGGGTTTCTACAGATGCTCTTAGTTTTACTCCCACACGGAAAGCACTCAGGAAAGAAAACTAAATTCGTCAAAACGCTCCAAACCAATGCGGGTCGGATGCTGGTCTCTGTATCTTCTTGGCACTTTGAGTGGCAGATTCGTCCAAGAAAAGCACCACCTGTGTAAGCGAAAATAGAATCGACGACTGCTCTTGAAAGCTGACCGTTTTTGTTGGTATTGGTGGCTTGTGGCATTCATCCTCATGCTCAAACGTTTGGCCAGACACCACAAGCAGAGCACCTCCCATGAAATTATTCCTGAGACTCGGATGAGGTTAAGAGAAATGAATGACCATTCAAAATGAATGAGATTGTTCGTGACAATTTTACAGTCAAACCTCTCTAATCCGCGTCGATATTAGGAACGCCATTGACAATCCTAATATACGGGTCTATCGGTTATCCACGGAAGGATGTGGATAACGTGGTGAATCTCTTATCCGCAACAAGACGTGGATAATTTGATTAATCAGGTGCCACAAGAAGACCGATTCTGGACGCGTTCCCTCCCAGAATGAATGCACATAATAGGATGCTCGGAGCTGACGAGCTCCGCCCCTTCTGACAATGCCCCTGGGAATCATTGCTACTGCCCCAGCTGCCCCTGGGAATCATTGCTACTGCCCCGGCTGCCCCTGGGAATCATTGCTACTGCCCCGGCTGCCCCTGGGGCTCATTGCTACTGCCCCGGCTGCCCCTGGGGCTCAAATGGGAATGAGCCCCAGTCCCCCGGGAAAGCCCTGTGCCTCGTTGGGTCCCCCGGTTGCTCCGTAGCCCTCTGCGTGACCTCGTTGACCTTGGGACATTTCCACTGTATTGCTCTCTCCTATGGGTCACCAGCCCCCCCCCCCCGCTTCCCATTTCATCATCTTCCCTAAGGTTGTCCCTCACTTTGTAAAGCATCTTCTTGGTTCTTTCGGTAAAGTCACGTAGAATGGAAATAATAAAATATATATTTTAATTTTTTTTCTTTTATTATTTCCATTCTACGTGACTTTACCGAAAGAACCAAGAAGATGAATCCCTGCAGTCATGAAAGCTTTAAATCGAAATTTGTAAAGCATCTTGAAACGCGGTTGCATCTGGACATTGCATTCGTAAACATTATTGTTGTTGTTTGGCCCCAAGTTTCACTCCCGACTACCCTGGCTGCTCCCGGGACCCATTGGTGCGGCCATGCCAAAAACTAAATTCTGCCACTTCTGGGTCGCTCCTCGCAGTCATGACAAAAAGAACGAAGTTTGCAGAATCCATCAGCGGATTATGGGATTTCTCATGGGATCGACTGAGGCCGCGGATAGCGGACGCCGCGGGTAAGAGGGATTGCGTGTAAGAGGAGTTTGGCTGCAATTTATTTTGCCGTGACCGTCTGTGAACTCCACGTGGCCTTTTTTTTTCTTTTCTCGCCTCTAGAATTCGCGTCTCGCGGGTCGCTCTACGACTACCTGTGCGGGGACGAGAGCGATGACATGGACATCGACCAGGTGCTGCCCTGGGCGATGGACATTGCTAAAGGTGAGGCCCGGCCAGCATGCGACGGACAAACACGCACGGGAAAGAACCGAGAACCGATTTGCAAGGTCTACACAGCGACACCAGCTACAGCAATCACCTCTACAGCCACACACAGCATGAACTACAGTGGCACATATTACTACACCAATTACAGCCACACACAGTTTGATTACACAAACTACAGTGACACATACAACTACACCAACTACAGCAATAAATACTGTTTCACAGGTTGTCCAATGCAATAACTACGTTGGCACTCAGCCAAATTCATTTATACTTTTTAAAAATTGCATTTACATTGCACTTAAATGCCTCGGCAACTCCAAGCACCTTGCATCACATCCTCGCACATTCGAAGGACACCCCCAGTGGCAGCGTCCCTGTGCAGCACAAGGCGGCTCCACGCCGACCTGCAAAGGGCATTAGTCTGCCAGCAGGGGGCGATGAAGGCTGCTGGGTAATCCCAATCGAGTCATCGGCCTCGTGCCGTCAGGTCGAGTTCGACCTCTGGTGACATCCACACCGCCCGTCTCTCGCTGCCTTTCGTAGCTGGGTTAGCGTGAGGCCAGCGGTGTTTTTGATGTCATCCATCCACCTCCTCCGAGGTCGACCTCTGCCCCTGCTACCTTCTCCATCCCAAGCGAGACCGATTCCTCTAGTCCAGAGGTACTCATAAAGCGTCCAAAGTAATTGAGTCATTAGCGGGCAATATTTGGAATTTGGCTTTGTTTGGGCCATTACACCGGCACACACAGTGGCCTACTGCTGAAGTGTACACACGTGCATCAGCTCACGCTCCCCCCTCACGCTTCCACATCCACACCGCCCACCTTCACCAACCCACACTGACCAGCGTAGTGAAGTATGCTCGCATAACCCCCACTACCCGCATGGCGTGGGAAGGCGATCATCCAGCAGCAAAGGGCTATGGACAATCACATTTAATACCTCGGCTCAACACATAAACAAAGCATTCAGTAAACTAATGGATGCACGTGACTGTGACAGCTGTTGCAGGGATAGGTTTGAACTGCAAATACAGTAAGACGAGCAATTTGTTTTTTAATGAATATTAATTTGATAAACGAGCGAGGTCTTGCAATACGAGTAGGACGTGTATACGCTTTGTCTGCCGAGCGTCACGTGATCACTACTGATATACGAGTGCTTTGGATTACAAACACGTTTCCGGAACGAAGCATGCTCGCAATCCAAGGTTTTACTCTATTGTACAGTATTAACTTTTCTCATTTGTGATTTTTATTTAATGTGGGGTGTTTTTTTGTTGTTGTATCGCTGAAGGAATGAATTACCTTCACACCGAGGCCCCGGTCAAAGTAATACATCGCGATTTGAAGTCGAGAAATGGTAAGAGACTATCAGACGCAATCATGATCATCATCCATTCATCGTTTAAATTATCATAGTGGTGATAATCTATCATAATCAATGATCCAATCATCATCGATTACCAGTCATCTCCATAATCAATCAGATTGCCATCAACAGTCTTTATAGCATATGACAATAATCGTCATCAACCCATCATCATTTTTATTGTAGCCAATTCTTAAATCTCAAACATGGGCTTGTTAATCACGTTTCAGAAAATGTCATCGATGCAAATGAATGAGACCCCATGGGTTTCCATTCGACAGAAAGACAAACCCGCTTGTCTTATTCCTCGTAGAATATAAATTTGTGAACAAGTGAGATGTCCACAAAGTGTGTATGCCAAAAGCATTCTGGGTAAAACAACTAAGTAAGTGAGCTTGGTCAGGTGATAAAAACTTACCGTGATGAAATGCGATTGGTTTTGCTAAAGATTGCACTCGGGTTAAGTGTGAAATTATCCTGAAATGTGTTTTGGAAGTTTGAACTGCACCGGGCAATAAACCTCCGCATTTTTTTGTTCTCCCTTTGCAGTTTTGATCACGTCGGACAACACACTAAAAGTGAGCCACCGGCCGTCGTTCAACGCTTTTAAAACGTTGTTAAAATCGATCAAATCGTTGATGAGAATCGATTCTCTTGGCTCATGATACACGCGTCGAGTCGTATGGAAGAATCCACGTTCTTCTATTTGTATGTTACCGTGTATGCAATGTGTTCATGTAACCACCTGCAACCACGTGAGGCCACTACATTCACCATTGTGGGGAGAAATAAAAAAACACGCCAATGTTCAGTTTCTGAACAGGTCGGTTAAGAATTTTTCGTCGACGTTCTGATAAACATCCGTTAATTTTCACATGGACCAGGAGAGAGCATGACATTGCCATCATTGTTCACCAGGTGAGCAGTAGAAAACAGTGCAGCGAAACTCGTCGTTGTACTGCACTCCTATACTGCCGGGTCTATGTTCCCCGACTTCACCGACGCTCACCGAACAGCGCCATGCAGTACGATCGAAAACTCCCCGGGACCCGCACGGCATCGGGTGGCCCCCATCCAGCAGTGGACTGACAATTGGGCTGTGCTTTTCTACGAACTTAGATTCAACGACTGTATAGTCAACCGTCTCTACGTGATGAGAAGAGCGAGCTTGCCTGCCACACAACAATGCACGCATTCATTTCAAGGGAGGTTAGCCTCTCCACTCCATCCCCGGTCTCATCCCATCCTGATCTTTTGTCTACGTTTTCCCCGACAACGCCAGATCTGCGACTTTGGCGCGTCGCGGTTTCACGGCCACACGACCAACATGACGATGGTGGGCACCTTCCCGTGGATGGCTCCCGAGGTCATCCAGAGCCAGCCCATCTCCGAGACGTGCGACACCTACTCGTTCGGAGTGGTCAGTGCCATCCCCCCACCCCCTCCCGTGGTGGTTCAATCGGTCATTCCGTGGATTACAACAATATAACTGCTCACACGTGTGCCGCGTGGTGTTCGGCACGATGTCCGACGTTTCGCTCCGTGTCCTGGGAGCTTCCTCAGGAACTGAATTTTGCGATTCCTCGAGAGGATCGAATAGTCCCAACATGTCGCGTGGCGTTGGGAGGACCCCCCCCCCCCCCCCCTGGACAAAGGGGGCTGTATGCGTACACATTGCTCGGTGGTGTTCGTGACAAATTAATGTTCTGTTCCATTTCTAAACAGCGAAACGTCAGACGTCATGTCGAACAACACGCGTTACAAACTGCAAGCGCATTGGCAGAGAGCTGCACAGCGGATCTGAGGATACGTCCGCAGTGGTAGAGATGAACCGACACCCCCATGCCTATTAATAGCACGATCAAGTTAAGCCCGGATATTTTGACGACGATAAACTTCAGGCGTGCGCCACTACGATGGGTGCCAAGGTCACAGCTGCCTAATTTGTGAAACTGCCCATCCACGAGATGATGATGATGATGAAGAAGACGACCCCCCCCTCCCCCCACGACTCCTGTTCTTTGGGCTCAAAAGTAACCAAGACGATGACGAATGGCAGGCGTGTGCCACCGTGCCCAGCGCCGACGCTTCGCTGCCCAACTCACGAGACTGGCGAGGACGACGTCGTCGTTGTTGTTATTGTTGTTATTATGAATGTTGTTGTTTGATCACGTCTCTCATCTGCGTCCCGGGGCGGTGCAGGTCCTGTGGGAGATGCTGACGCGCGAGGTGCCCTTCAAGGGCTTCGAGGGGCTGCAGGTGGCCTGGCTCGTCGTCGAGAAAAACGAGGCGAGTCTTTGCACGACCCACGCCGCTGAATTCCGGCGCCCGCCAAAATCGACGCTTTCGAGCCCCTGGGCAAAATTGAGGGATTGCCACCTGCACTGGCGTTTCCCAGCTAGCGAACGTGCAGGCTGTGGAGGCTGCCACGTACCTCAGACATTTTCGTAAGGGTCCTGCATCGGCGTCTTTGCAAAATTCGACTAATGAACGTTTGGCATGTGGGCAAAAACTAGGACACAACGAACACACGTGGGGGTGTGACAGCGAGCACTGCCATCTACTCACGGTCTCACGCCTGCAACACCTGGCCTCACCTGGTGGTGGTCACCCATCCAAGCGCTCACCAGCAATGCTGTGACTGCATTATCAGCTCAGGGGGGTGCGGCAATTGGTCAGGTGGGGCCCCAATATTTAGTTCGTCTCTTAAATAATCGCGGCTCCTCTTGCCGAATCGCATCATTACGAATTTGAATTGAAAACATTTCAACCGCATTTTTTATTACTTTTAGTTATTTTACACTGTTGTTGAAAACATATCTCATGGTTGGTTATCAAGGCGACCCCAACTCGTAGCTTTGGCCACGGGGGGGGGGGGGCGGGCGGTGGGGGCTAGGCTCCCCCTGCCCTCGTGCTCGTGACGCCGCTGCTAACTAGACCCGTTCCCTGCCGAGCTTCTGAGAGTCGGTGGGGTAGCGGGGCGTGTTTACAGTGATTTTGTCGGAGGCAAACTTTCAGGAGTTAACAAGTCTTTTAATTTGCCTTGAAGATAAACACGCACACACACACGCGGAGGCTGTGTTTCCACTGCAAGTGCTTATGCAATGCATGTATCCGGATAAACAAGAACCACCGTGCAGCAAGCGCAATGGAAACTGGCATAATTCGCATTCCTTCTGCTCTTGTGCGACTCTCCCTAATGGAATATGCGAGACCGTAGCTTACGTTGGAAAACTGGATTCGCTACCTCGTGCGAATCAATGAGCCTTTTACACAAACACACATTTGGTGGAAATGGATTTCAGTGCTTAAAAAGCAATCGCGGACCGTTGCGTGTCGAATTTGAGATGGCCACGACAGCCAAGTCGTGTCAGAGGGACGAGGGGTGGGACCGGTGGTTAGAAAACTGCGCTCTGAATTTCCACGCGATGATGATGAACCACTTCGTTGAGCGATAATTTGTGGCCAGGTGGCTTCTGAAGAAGAAGCTGTATAGCTCAGTGGGCCTTACCCGGTAAAAACAAGTGTTATTTTAATAGATGATGACTTTAGTGGTTCCTTTGCCTGTACATGCTGTGGGTACGCATCGTTTCATTGTCGCCGCTTGTTCCTCTGCATGATAGTCCGGCAATTTTGATCAAACGCTCTGGGAGCTCCACGTGATAAGCCACTTTCGTTGAGGTGTCATTTGCGTCCAGGTCGCTTCTGAGAACGCAGCTAAATGGCTCCGTGGGCCTTACCTGGGAAAATACAAAAAATATAGTTTAGTTGTTTTTTGTGGTTTTCTCACCTTTCCTATACTTTGCACTCCTATTGTGTTTTTTTGTACTGTTTGTTGTTGCAACTTTCTGACCCGCCCCGACTGGACATCTGTGAAAAAGAGTTTCATAGCTCATCGGAATTCCTCCAGTATATCTTCTTGATAATATAATAAAAATAAAACATAATAAAAGTATTTTATTATGTTTTAATAAAAATATTTTATTATGTTTAATTGTTATTATTTTATTATTTCCCTTCTACGTGACTTTACCGAAAGAACCAAGAAGATGAATCCCTGCAGTCACGAAAGCTTTAAATCGAAATCCTCCAGTATAAATAAAGATTTTCATTCTGACCCGAGTTCAACTCTCGCCCACGGATGTAGCATCAGTGGCGAGTGATTTGTGCACCGGTCATGGCCGCCGTCTCCATCGCCAACCCGCGCTGACCAGCGTGGCGAAGTATGACGGAAACAATCCCCACAAAATAAACCGACACGGCGTGGGGTAGCTTTCATCCAGCAGTAAGACCGAGAAAGGGGCCGTCACATTTCACATTTTATAGTAAACGTGACCATCGCGTTGATTCGTCACAACTCCAGCATACGCTCGCTCCGTTAATCGCTGATCCACCGCCGAGAACACGTGTCATCGGATTTGGTAGAATGGTCACATTTCATCTTTGCAGGCCGGTGGGGCAGTGCTATTATTGAGTGCCTCTCTAAGCACGATGTGGAAATCCGAGGCGTTCCATCGCCGAAGATACAGCGACCGGCGGCGCTATTTTCAGCTGCGGCTGGAACTTTCAACAAGACTGATAAGCACGCGCACGTGCCTGAGTGCGTCTGTGCAGTAGCCAGTGAGAGTACGTACACACGTGTGTACTCCGGCGTGTTATCCGTGCTCTATTCTCGCTCCGACTTGAATGGTTTTACAGGGTCCTGTGCACTTTCGCCTCTGATCCCGGGTTATAGACCACAAATGTTGGCATAAATTAACTGCATCATTGTATTGGCTGCGGAAATATTTTAAAATGTCTTTCCTCCGTTAAGATTTTCGTGACTTTACAGAATATTTTTTTTGAAATCGTCAGTTTCGTGAGTTCTAATGGCTTGTTCCCAGTTTACCTTAACCTTGCCTCCAAGTTGCAGTGCATGGTCCATTGCAAGGCGAGTTAAACATTAATTATGGTGCTGTGAAGAAGGAACCATTGCCCCCCCCCCCATATGTTGCCTATTATGTCCTTTAAAGGTCTTGAATTTCGTTGTATTATTTGTGCCGGCACAACCACTACCAACACGGTAACACCAAATAATTATCACTAATTATAATGGGTAACATCTTTGTATATATATTACACACACACATCTCATTTTGCTTGTCTAGGCACTTGGTTCTGTTGCTTGGATTGAAATCTTATTGGTGGTGACATCACAGAGTCCAACGGACCTGTGTGTGTCCAGATCAAGCCCTCTCTAGCCAATCTACAATTCCACAAGGCTCGGTTCACCGGAGCTCACGGTGGTGCACATGGCAAAGGTCAAATCTACAAGGCGTCCTGGTCGTACGCCAGCGATGTGTAGCTCCCGCACGGCCCTTCACGTTCAACGGAAGAGGCCAGGCGTGGTGCTGGCCACAGCTTCTCGTGCACCTGCCGGGTCTCGGCAGGTGCTCGCCAACAGCACCTGCCCCCAGCAGTCTGTTCGAGGCTAATGGAAAACATGGTCCCGTAGGCGTAGCTTGCTCAACCCGAGGTGTTCCTGCTCTGATATTTTCATTCCATTTGTTACCGATCGCTGGTCTAACGCTGGTGAGACAGGCCCATCATCAAGAAGGCTGTCCCTGATGGATGTCAATCACTTTCAAAGACAACGCCGCATGCATCACTATGTCACGCAATTTTTGTTCCTGGGTAGTGTTATTTTCTAATTGCTTAGGCCTCAAAAGTATAGAAAATGGCTGTTATTCCCCACAAACTTTGCTTTTGTGACCAGGACAGTGATATTTTGAAATTGACCTATTTTCAATGAGAAAACGTGGTGTGCATTTGTGTCTTTCCTTCACACAAAATCCTGATCACAAAAGCAAAGTTTGTGGGGAATAATAGCAATTTTCTATACTTTTGAGGCATAAGCAGTTAGAAAATAACACTTACTACCCAGGAACAAAAATCGTGTTATAGTGAACTAAATAGGTACATTTCAAAATAGCCTCAAATGAGTACCTGGTGCAGTGTGTTGCTGGCCGCCCTACCCCTCGTGTGCCATGGAGGCTTTCATCGGTGCTACTCGTTAACAGCACTTGCCCTAACAGTCTGTTAAGGCTACACAGGGGATCTGTGTCTTTGTTACACTGTTTTTGCATTCATGTGTCTGTGTGTATAAATATGCACATATTTATATATTTACATGTGCATGTATATCTGTGTATGTGTGTATCTCTGTATGTGTATGTATGTCTGTCCGTATATCTATACAGTATGTGCATGTCTTTGTGTTCATATCGGCTAACAGCACTTGCCCCAACAGTCTGTTAAAGCAATACGCGTGATCTTTTGTCTTTGTATCTGAAATATGGACATGCGTGTATCCATGCGTGTGTCTCTCTGCGATGTCCATGTGCCTCTGTGTCATTGCGTGGGTGTTCCTGCCTTTCCGATATTGTAATCAGAGACCGACCATCCCCAGCAGCTGTCCCGCCAGCTTCGCCAACCTCATGCGGCAGTGCTGGGAAGCTCAGCCCAAGGTAAACACAAAATAGTGCACTCTAACCCACCCCGATCTCACACACACACCCCACACCTCACCCACACACCCCACTCCTCACCCACACACCCACACACCCCACTCCTCACCCACACACCCCACACACCCCGCCCTCACCCACACACCCCACACACCTCACACACCCACACACCCGACTCTCACCCACACACCCACCCCGCTCTCACCCACACACCCACACACCCCACCCACACACCCACCCCGCTCTCACCCACACACCCCACACACCCCACTCCTCACCCACACACCCCACACACCCCACACACCTCACCCACACACCCCACCCACACACCCCACACACCCCGCTCTCACCCCCCGCTCTCACCCACACATCTTACCCACACACCCCACCCGGCTCTCACCCACATACCCCACACGCCTCACCCACACACCCCGCCCTCACCCACACACCCACCCACCCCGTTCTCACCCACACACCTTTCACCCACACACCCCACACACATGCCCCGCTCTCGCCCACACACCCAGACACCCACCCACACACCCACCCCGCTCTCACCCACACACCCACACCTCTCACCCACCCACCCCACACACCCCCGCGTGCTGTGGGTCTGTTTGTTGAGCGAGGTCTCACCACACACAACAGGGCCTGCGGAATGTGATTTATCTTTCGAACTGGAGCTTATGACCCTGTAACGTGTCATTGCCAAAGCTCGCTCAGGCGAACCGGGGAGACACTAAACTAAACGGGCATCCAAGTGAAACTGAACAAAAAACACAGTTTTGAATGATTCCAACCAAGGTTGAAAGCGTTTGTGGATCAGCTGTGTTCCTCCGTCCGTGTCTCCGCCTGTAATGGGACGGGGCTCAGTGTCCGCGTGTAACTATTGTCCAAAAGGAACGAAATTGTGATGTAAAGTTATGTTGCCATGAAGGACTTTACTCTTGAAAACTGGATAAAACTCATCAAAGGCTGTCCCAAAACGTCGAGACATGAACCAGAACAAAAAGTAATTAATTTGGAAATACGCAAACAGATTGTGCCCTTATAGCTGGCTGCCCTTCGCCTTCTCCATGGCTAATTATGTCACAATCCGTGCGCATGCAGGATGTTTTCTCTTTATTATTTAAAGGCCGAGTCAAAATATTGGTTGGCAGAGCGAGCGGATTTAACCACCTGTCCTTAAACTTATGATTGTTGCTTAACATCGCCATGTTATCGAGCCGAGTCAAGTTCTCCCCGTATATATTTCAAGCCAGGACAACAGACCGAGATATTACAAAATAAAATCTGTCCCTTTCAAAATACGGATGCCAAGGCGAGGAGTCATCCAGTCACCCGATAAAATCCCAGAAACCAGCTGGCAGGAGATCAGCGTTCCCCAAACTGGCGTCTCCCACGCGTCTGGCAGCTGGATGGAAAAGGCGTGAGACGGTGGATCACGGCGACTGGAGTCACGTGGTCTGCAGTGCGATGCCACCACGAGGCAATGTCACTCCACCACTCGGCAATCACACTCCACCACGAGGCAATGTCACTCCACCACGAGGCAATGTCACTCCGCCACTAGGCAATCTCACTCCACCACGAGGCAATCTCACTCCACCACTCGGCAATGTCACTCCACCACTCGGCAATGTCACTCCACCACGAGGCAATCACACTCCACCACTAGGCAATCTCACTCCACCACTAGGCAATCTCACTCCACCATGAGGCAATCACACTCCACCACGAGGCAATGTCACTCCACCACGAGGCAATCTCACTCCACCACGAGGCAATCTCACTCCACCACGAGGCAATCACACTCCACCACGAGGCAATCTCACTCCACCACGAGGCAATCTCACTCCACCACGAGGCAATGTCACTCCACCACGAGGCAATGTCACTCCACCACGAGGCAATCTCACTCCACCACTAGGCAATCTCACTCCACCACGAGGCAATCACACTCCACCACGAGGCAATGTCACTCCACCACGAGGCAATGTCACTCCACCACGAGGCAATGTCACTCCACCATGAGGCAATCTCACTCCACCACGAGGCAATGTCACTCCACCACTAGGCAATGTCACTCCATGCGATGCGTTCCGTAAGATTTCTCCGTCCGTCCGCCACCGCTGTTGCTAAATAATTCGCGTCTCCCATAGATGTGAACCCCTTGTCAGTGCCCTACCTTATTACAGACCAAGTCAGACCTTATTGGTCACCCCGTGCCTTTATAAATCTCAACGTTCATCCTACAAAGTCCCATCACAAGCGAGAAACACAAAAACAAAGACAAAAATTAAGTTGCTAAACAAAAAAAATGTTGTGCCCGTTTGTAAACGGCTGTACACCGTGTGGCCCTGAAAACTCAATTTCCCTGCACAAGAATACGGGGAAATGAACCACGATGGATTGACAGCCTTTTGGTTTTCCTCTCCCCAGCGCCGCCCACACTTCAAGGAGGTCCTGCAGGCGCTCGAAGCCATGCTCAACGACAGTCGACTGCCAAATCAGTGCAACTGCTTCCTGCACAACAAGGCTGAGTGGAGGTGAGGTCTGCACGTGGTAGGGCACTGGGTGGGGGGGGGGGGGCATCCGCTCCCTGCCCGGGCTTTGAACCCAGCGGAACTGCCCTTCGTTTGAGCGTGACGATCAGGCGGTGTTTTGCAACTTAAAAGATGTTCACTTGATTCGGGCTGGCCGAGACGCCACGCGACCGACAAGTGGGAAAACGCTCCGTCGCAAAGCATGAAAGGGCACCCTCCTCTAGTGTGTTGTGACAAATGCCGCCGATTGAGGAGGCTGCAGAAGTTGTTCCCCGCGGTGTCGTCTTCCTGGGACGTTCATTGGGACGTGAATTCACCTTGTGACGCGACTCACGGTGACGCAATTGGGATGTGTGGCGATTGGTTGAGCCACCTCTGCCACCACGAACCAACATCACTGCAACTGGCATCACCACCAATATCACAACCACTAACACTCCAATTTTTTACAATATTACAACTGCCACCATCACCACTATTACCGTTCCAACACTACTTCTATTGCGGCGATCACCAACACGGCCATCGCCACACCACCAATAATACCACCAGCATCACAACCCCAACCACCAACAACAACAACAACTGCCATTCGCCACTAAGTGGCGTTGACATCAACACGGCGCCTGGCCAGGCCAGGCCACGTAAAGTGTCGAAAGCTCGCTCGAGGTGACCGGACAGGCCCAGGTGTGTTTGGTCCACGACAACCACCACCACCACCACCACCACCACCGCCACCACCGCCGCCACCGCCGCCACCGCCACCACCTTTCAACTAACAGTGCCACCAAAAGACAAAAACAAAGACACCCCATATTGCCTTAATATAATTTTTGGCCAAGTGTTGCGAGCGAGTAGCCACCTATTAAGGTCAGCACAGCACACGAGGGGGTAGGTGCCCAGTACCATGCCCAGCCACCTTCATTTCACTCGTTGCCGACGTTTGCGCACACTTGGTGTTGCGGGAATCAAACTCGGGCCCGCCACTGCCACCGGGGTTTGTCCAACCTCGCCGCGTGTGCCCCCCGCGTGTGCCCCCCCCCCCCCCCCCCCGCGTGTGCCTTCGTTGCAAAGGGGCGAGATCGACGCGAAACTGGAGCGACTCAAGGAGCTGGAGCGAGACTTGAGCAGCAAGGAGGAGGAACTGCGGGAGCGCGAGCGGCGGCTCGAGATGTGGGAGCAGCGGCTCCGCGAGCAGGACAGCTTCACTCCGGTAGCACGCCCGGTGGGGGGGGGGGGCACGCTGCCACAGTTACACTAGTGGGGGGCACGCTGCCACCGTTACACTAGTGGGGGGTGGGGGGCACGCTGACACCGTCACACTAGTGGGGGGTGGGGGGCACGCTGCCACCGTCACACTAGTGGGGGGCACGCTGACACCGTTACACTAGTGGGGGGGGGGGGGTGGGCTGCAGCCGACGGGGTTCGGACACGAGGCGACGTGGATGAACGCACGAGGGGTGACGAGTTTCAAGTTGATTTTGTTGACGCGGCAAGAGAGCGACCAGAATCACCGAAATGACGAAAACAAGAACAAAGAACCGTACAGGAATGACGCAAATTTAAATCTTTAAATGTAAACTAGTTAAAATATCTTCCTGTGTTCATGAACACAACCCCCTCATTGGCTACAGTGTCTTTAATTGAGCAATGTCATGTTTAACTGTTGAGTATGATGTTGAGTATGATCAGCATGTGTGCGTAAGGATTTACATTTATTCGGCACTTAAATGCTACAGCAGAGAAAAGCACTTTACAAATGCCTGGAAGTACAAATCCCATCCCGGCAAAACAGGGGATGTGGGGGAAGATAGGGTGCAAGAAAATCCACAAAAATATTATTTTTTTAATTAAAAACAACATCACGAGAAGACTGAGTGATGCAGGGGATTCGAATGAGCTGTGCGAGACCACGAGGTCAACAGACATCCGCGGGTTTGAACGGACAGCCTTGTCAACGTCACGTGGGAGGATGAGACAACACGTGGACACAAAGATCCCCAGCAGAAAACTTGATTTGGAGCTTTCGTCACTGCAGGAATTACTCTTTGGTTCTTTCGGTAAAAGTCACGTAGAAAGATTTTTTTTATTTAAATAATAGCATACGACGTTTCGATTGCAACACAAGCAATCATCAGGTACGAATGAAAGAGAAAACAAAAACCTAGTAAACTTAGAAATATAATGCAATACAACACAGAGAGTCGGCCAACACAACAGCCAACATCCTACCTGGTTGATTACGTTATTCAAAGATTGCTAAATTTGAGAGAGAGATAGTCTGTTCAGCAGAGCCTGAATAAACTTTCGAGACAATTCCTCTTAGCGAGTAGCAGCACCGATGAAGGCCGGCACGGCGCCACGACGAGATGAGTGGCCAGCACCACGCCCGGCCGCCTTTGTCTCCCGATTGGCGGTGTTTACGCACCGCACCAGGTACTCATTTGAGGCCGAGTCGACCTAGGGGAGGTCCAGTCGTACATTTCAACGGCTGCCCGCTAACTCCCCCACGCACGCCGGTACCTGGGCTCGTGCAGCAACCCCCGAATCGCTCCAAGGCGGAGCTGCTGCTGCTGCGGATGCTGCTGCTGCTGCTGAAGCTGTCAAAGTTGCCACGTGGTTGTTGCCTCCCTCGCTACTCACGCTTCTTCTTTGTACAATCGAAATGCACCCAGTGACGTAGAAGGGAAATAATAAAATAATAAAAATAAAAACGCAAGCAGCCTCTGCTTACGTTGTGGCCGAAACGTCGTGAGAATTGTATTTTATTATGTTTTATTTTTATTATTTTATTATTTCCCTTCTACGTGACTTTACCGAAAGAACCAAGAATATGAATCCCTGCAGTCACGAAAGCTTTAAATCGAGACATGCACCCAGTGAATTTAATTATCCCCCCCCCCCCACTCTTATTAGCCAATACAATACGCAAATTGTGCGTTCTACCCACGTGTCCAGGTGTCTCATTGTCTTCACATCCACATCCCTTCCCGACGTTACCAAACTGGTGCCTCCACCTTGTCAACCTCCCGCGCTGCCACCAATCATTCACCTCGTCAAGAGTCCGCGACATCGGCGATGACTGCGATGGGAGCAATGAAAGAGTGACCAAGGAAGCAATAAACAAGTGAAAGAGAGTGAATTGAGTGAATCGGTGATTGCAGCAGGATCATGAATCCACCGAACTGCTTCACCCGAGATTCTCTAGCCCAGAGTTCTTCAACTGTGGCTCATGAAGGTTATTGGAGCCGCTAAGAGATACGGCTCACTGAGACGTAGATATGCAGATTGGCGAGATAAGAGAGAGAGAGAAAACAAGAAAAGAAAGATCCGAAGACAATATTCAGTTTAATGAGATAAAAGCAATAGAAACTAATAAATGTAGACACCTGGAGACAAAATATACATGTTCACGGGCACACGTACTTACAACGTAGCCACACGACGTCACAACGCACGTGCACGTGACGTATGGCGTTGTCACGGTTACGCCGCCAACACGCGGTAGTTTCACAGTGGAAAATAAATCCCCACCTCCCAGGTTTTCGTCAGGAGAATCCAAATTCACCGGCGCTCAGGCGGCAGCCACGCCAACGCCAACGGCTCGCTGCCGCGTTGACGGCGCCGTTAACTTTCGTTCTTATTTCTGTTTTGTCGCCCCGCGCAGCTCTACGTGCCGCTGGCCATGAGCCTCTCGCGCGAGTCCTACTTCGAGTCGCACACGGCGGAGACGAACAGCGCCGAGGTGTCCTGCAATTTCAGCCTCAGCAACGAGGCCCGCGGGCGCAGGCTGCGCCGTGGCTCCAGCTCCGGCCACTCGTCCGGCAGCGGCGACGGCATCCAGAGCGTGGTGCAAGGGCTGCAGGTACACGCGCGTTCTGTTTACGTGACAACCCCCTTACTAGTTGGCTGTGTCGGGTGGTGGCGGGTTTAACGACACATTTATATATTTACGCGATCTAACCCAATAAAAACTGTGCTATGGATAATATACCCGTCACTGCAAACACCTTACCTGCACTCGTCCTTTCCTGGGGGTCATCGGCCTTTTTCCACTGCAGCTCCTTTAGCCTTGGAGCGCTGTGCCTTTGCTGACTGCTTTCCATCCAAGGCGCATTTGGGTTCTACGGTTGAGATGCGCCTTTGCAAATGTAAATTCTTATTTTTTATTAATCAGATTCTAGAGGGGAAGCATTTTTGAACTGGTAATGATCTGTTGCTAATTTTATCTCGCTCATCCACTTCTGTCACTGCAAGGCCCTCTTCGCACTCGGCCAACGAACAACCAATTTTTCGCGTTATTAATACTATTATTACCGCCTGCTAATCCCTGGCACGCCAAAGCCTTTTGAAAGTTGTATTTGGGCCTCGGTGAGGGAAACGTTCCCCCACCGGTGCCGTAAAACGGCCGAGCGTAAAATGTGGAGTTAATTTTCCGCGCCCCAAATACAATCGCCCCTTCTGTGTGCGCCCCCTTCCCCCCTCCCACCCTTCGTGTTTCCTGCCGTCACAGGACATCCTGTCATTGACGTCGGGCCCGACGCACCCTCTGCTCAGCTCGGGCCTGCAGGTCAACCTGCAGGCCCAGCACAACGCGAGCGCCAGCGGCAGCCTGCGCCAGGGCAAGAAGGTCAAGCTGGACCTGGGGCCGCGCTTCCACTGGACGAGCTGGGATGACGACTGAGCGGCGACGATGCGAGAACGAGAGACGAAATGAAGTGCACAGTCCACACAGCCCACTGTGACACGGTCGAACCCGATCCCACTCACAACCACGATCCCACTCACAACCACAATCCCACTCACAACCACGATCCCACTCACAACCACAATCCCACTCACAACCCTGATCCAACTCACAGCCACGATCCCACTCACAGCCCCAATCCCACTCACAACCCTGATCCAACTCACAACCACAATCCCACTCACAACCCCAATCCCATTCACAACCCCAATCCCATTCACAACCCCAATCCCATTCACAACCACGATCCCACTCACAACCACGATCCCACTCACAAGCACGATCCCACTCATAACCCTGATCCCACTAAAAACCCCGAACTCACTCGCAACCACGATCCCACTCACACCCTGATCTCAATCTCACCTTAATCCTACTCCCACCCTGATTGCACTTCCACCCTGATCCCACTCTCATCCTGATCTCCCTCTCACACCCGATCCCAATCCCACCCGAATCCCGCTCCCGAATACAAGTTCTCTCAGCTGGGGGAGGTCTCTGCACTGTCGACCACTGGGTGTAGTTACGCGTCGTTCGTATGTCGCTTGATCACATTGATGGCCTGGCTCATTACGTGTCTAATAACAACAACAACTAAAATCACTTCATTTAGTCCGGTACAAGCAACCACGTGTGGGCTCTGTCCAATTGCTCCCAGCGTCACACTCCACGGAAGATGAATTACTCGGTTTACTGATGACAGGGATGATATGTCAGTAAGCATCTAGCCTGAGACTTTAAAGTGATTAACAGCGTCAGGCTTTACCTCCCTATAAGTGAAACTAAATAAGTTCTGGGCCCGATTTGTTTTGGTGGGAGGGGTAATATGAAACAATTGGTTTTAGATTGTAATAGTTTTAAGCATAGGCTTGACTGTATTAGTGGCAACATTTAACTCCACTCGCATTGTTAGAGTATGACGTCACGGTGGGCCACAGCATCAAACACTGGACGCGATTGAAGCTGTCTCCGTTTGAACGACGCAGGGGATGGACCAGAGAGAAGTGGAGAGGCCCACTGCAATGGAGCGGTCATGGCATCAGTGGCTCCAAAGGCCAAGGGACTTCCTGAAGAAGTCACAGTCGTCTCTATGTATATAATACACACACACACACAAACACAAGGCAAAGATACCCTACTTCGTGCCGTAGAAGATAATCGCCTATTTTCTGGACTGTAAGACACTCCAGAAAATAAGTCGCGCCCGGAACATGTGCCCGATATCAATAAAGTCACACAAATATGATCGCGCGCACACACACCGACCGGGTTGTAAGACAAAACCTTAAAATATTGCTTTAAAATACGCGGCGAGGGGGGGGGGTGTGTCTCATAAGCTATAGATGACGGTAAATATTGGGCATGGTCATTATCCATATTAGGAGGCCACATTCATCGTATCGGGTCATGGGGGTCAGGGGTCATGGAGCCTCATCCCAGCCAGCTGAGAAGCACCTCTTGCGTGGGATGGAGCCGCCTTGGAGGTTATCCTAATCTTACAGAGAGAGAAAAAACCACTGCATTTGTATTAACTGCGCTTAATTATTTTGCACAGCTCATGTGTGAACTTTTGGGTTCATGAAGCCTGGTTGCATCTGCTTTTGCTTTTTCCAAAAAGCCGTCCTGTGGATGCAAGCTCGAAGTCGTCGTGGGCATTCTATTGATCAGTCATCAGCCGTGGCTAAATTATTAACAGACATGCAGCTTAACTGTACTATTCACAAATAACATTGCGTGTATTTTATATGAATATATGTATACACATTGTGGTGAGTGTTGTCGTGGTGGTTAGCGTACTGCACTCCTGTGTAGGCATTTTCCCCCATTAACGATTCAATGATTTTCACTATTAAGTGTCAGGATTCATTAATACGTTTTACAGTGGTGAATACTGTACAGAATTATAGCACCTCCAGTTCACGTAAACCGATTACAAATTATTATTGAATTGAAATCAATTTGATTTCCACGCGCGTGACTGGATGCATGTATTGTGAGCGTGATAATCGATTTAACACGTAGGCTTTTGCGACCAATATCATCCATAATATAGGTGTTTTCGCATCAATATAAATGTGTCGTTAAACCCGCCACCACCCGACACGGCCAATTAGTAAGGTTTGTCACGTAAACAGAACATGGCAAGTCGTTACTAGTACAGCACAGCGGTGTGTTGGAGAGCAAAACCACAACATTTACAACCTGATAACCTTACATTTTGGCTGTGTCGGGTGGTGGGTTTAGCGACACATTTATATTTACGCGATCTAACCCCAAAAAAACTATATTATGGGTAATAATCGATGCAACGAGATGAGCCGATGCGTCGTCACGTGTCATAGCTGTCTGTGGACGATGACCAGTGGCAATTACTAACTGAACCTTGCCTCCTCCAAGTTGACATCAGAAAATTGGGGAGACAAAGGTGATCAGGCATGCCCACTTCTAGGCAAATCACCACCTTGTGTGCTGTGCTGGTCAGTCTTAAAAGGTGCTCTCGACAACAGCACTTGTGCCAAAGGGTAAACTAATATTTTATTTTCTTGGTTCTTTCGGTAAAGTCACGTAGAAGGGAAGTAATAAAATAAAAATGTTTTTTTTTTACTTCCCTTCTACGTGACTTTACCGAAAGAACCAAGAAGATGAATCCCTGCAGTCACGAAAGCTTTAAATCGAAATTAAATATTTTATTCTCTGCCTCTTACAGGTATCTCCCTTGCCATGCAGTTGGATGTCCCACACATGATAAGACACAATTTTATTATTAATCTTTTGAGTGTCAAAAACATTGTTGAGATACTTTATGTGACTAGGACTAACCCTTGAGATTCACATTTGCTTACAAAGGGATATTTGCCAGATGGCAGCGATTCATCCGTTCCGCAAAAAATTGAATGCAAATGTCTCGGAGTGGGTGATGGAGCTGTGGTGCAGCAGTTAGCGCACTGCCCTATGAACTCGCTTCCCTGAGTTCGATTCCTGACAATGGCGAACATCAGTGGCCAGTGATATCTGATCGTGTCAAGTGCACCCCTTCACCAACTTACATAAAGCAGTGTGGTGAAGTAAGTTTAAATAAACCATGATCGACATGGTGTGGAGAGGTCTACATCCAGCAGTGGATTGACAAAGGGGATTTAAAAAATAAAACGAAAGGTACAGAATGTTGTAGTTATCAAATTGTATTATGGTACAAAGGAGACATTTGGATGCGAAAATAATTGGATTGCGTCTTACGTGTGATCCTCTAACCCCAGTAACAACCTTTCTGATGAGGGTTTAATTTCAGCCGGGTCGGAACACGTCGGCAACCACTGACAATATGTTCACACCCGGCACACCACGTCCAGGATACCTGCCGCTATGGCAGTGGCTACTTGTCACGTGCCACCTTCTGGTCTTCCAGCGACCAGTGAAGTTTGCCGTGAGCAACAAAACCCCGTGTGAGGTTTCATGCGTCCGTGAAGAACACAGAGCTGGCTCATCTATGCGACGTTAAAACACTGAATGGGTATACGTTGTAGTGACGTCAGTGCGATCCACCCGTACACGAGCGGAGTCCACAAACTCTGTGCGTGTTCGAGTGCTCAAGGAGGCCACGCGGCACAAACTCCAGTCCCCTAGGAATCCCACCATCCAGCTCCTAGCGCTTACAATTTAACGCGGGGCGGTAACGTGGAGAAATAAATTGCGAGCAGTCAGTCCCACTCAACGATTGGAACTTTTAGTTGAGAAAAAGAAGAGTAATACAGAATGTACATGTCTGGGGATGAGTGGCGCAGTGGTTAGCGCACTGCTCTATGAGCCTGGCCACCATATGGCTACAATCGGCGAGTGATATTTGAACCCGTTCTAGGACCCCCCCCCCCCCCGCAAACCGCACCACCTCGCGTGGTGAAGTATAGTCAAACAACCTCCCACGCCCCACATGGCGCCTTGAGGCCTTCATCGAGCAAGCGGTGGATTAACAAATGGCTGTATATGTCTACGTTTCTTTACTGCGGAAAACGATGGCATTTTTAACCCAGACTTTTTGGGACAACCTCTGCACGCTCGCCCGAGGAATTGGGTGCCCACATTGTACCTCACAACTGTTAATGATCTGTTGAGCCATTTACTGCGGTGTTTCGCTTTTTTTAGTCTGGCTGGTATAAGGTGACTGTGGTTGATGCGAATTGCTGAATAATTCAAGGTCCCTGAGCTGAACCAATCCGAAGTGATGGGTTTTTATTTTATTTTTTAATCTGTCAATGGGAAATGTTGGTGAACGTGAATTGTGGATCGTACGAGGGTTCCGAAGGACACGAGTTGTGAACCCGCCACATTGGACCGTATGGGAGAGCACAACTTTGGGAAGTCACATGTGAATACTTTTCGTCATTTTTATAAGCCAAGCCTGAGAAAACTTTCAATAAAAAAGAGTCGTGTGAAATTGTGTGTCGAGCCAGATTACAAAATCAAATGACCTCCAGTCTGTTTACACTGGCATTGTGCTCAATTGATGTATTGAAGCCACTTGGCTCTCAGTGTGGGGTAACTTCATTACGTTGAGTCAAAATCGACATTCGGGCTTCCATGGTCGATGGATTCAAGAAATCTGAGAGTAAAAAAAAATCTGTCGAGTGAACTCAGTCACTGAGCAGAGGGGTTTTGGCATCACGAGGGATGGTACGGAGTGGCCTTCATCCAGCAGTGGAGACATCATAGCGGATAGTGAACTCAGATCATTTACGAGGATGCTCATTATTTTGCTACGAGTGTAACAAATCATTTCTTGATTAATTTATCAGTTCCTACGCTGATGGAATCCCACGTGTAAGGATCAATATTTTATTATTCCTATTTGAAAAGAGTTTACATCACCTTTGCATCCACGAGATGTGCTGTACTCACCAAATGTTGAAAATAAATTATTCTCTAATCAAATCAGCATCAGCCATGATCTGTCCACTGCTGGATGAAGGCCACCCTGAGTTGTCGCCATCTCTCGGTCTCTTGATGCAACAACGCGTTGAGCTCCTGCACGTGGGCTATCATCGCTCCATCTCTCCATTCAACGTACCTGCTGGCATGTTCTCTCATTTGGCTGCCACTCTGTCATTAGTGTCAACCACCAGCCATTGTTTATTCCAGTCATGATGTGTTCTGGGCCAAGCCCTCTTACATTTATTAACAATTTGAATTATATTCTTGGTTCTTTCGGTAAAGTCACGTAGAAGGGAAATCATAAAATAATAAATAAAAAACATAACAGAGCGCTCTGTTCTTCACCTGAGGACGGCTGCTTGAGTTGTGGCCTGAAACGTCGTGAGAATTTTATTATGTTTTATTTTTATTATTTTATAATTTCCCTTCTACGTGACTTTACCGAAAGAACCAAGAATATAAATCCCTGCAGTCACGAAAGCTTTAAATCGAAATTTGAATTATGTCTTTAGCACGCATACGCTATCGAATGCTGTTCCTCCTTCAGTCTCTAAGTGTAATTCCAAGCATGCCATGTCCCCGTGCTTCCTTCTTTACACACTTTTCAGATATTATTCTATATTATTTGTCAGTGTCCACGTTTCTGATCCGTACGTTCGAGCAGGAGTAAGTCAATTCAAGAGCGATCCTGAGAGGTGAGTGTGCAACAATGTCTCGTTTGGAGGCACTCAAAACAGCGCAAACTACAATAAAACACTGGGGTAGAACATTTACGGGTGGGATTTTCTAAATACCACAGCCACGTCAGTGACCCAAATTAGGCCGGCTACGCTCCACACAGTCCAAACATGAGCATGGCTCTGAGCTGATCGTTATCACGGGAAGATGCTCAGCCCTTGAATGTCCTCTGCCAGTTTTGCTGACACCCACCCTCCCTTGTGAGGCAGGGTCTAAGCTACAGATATTAATGAGCCGCACCTTAACAACTCTTGGAACCTCCCAGTTCAACCAGTCTACACAACAAAGGCTCATTCCTAGCAGCGTGCTTCAGCCGCACCGAACCTCACAATAATAATTTTATCCAGGTGCCTGTCTTGACTCCTCCCACCCTCAACCAGTATATATACAAGGACTGTTTTTTTTTTTAATATATCTTACTTGATACAGCTATCGTGCTGTGACGGTTCCACCTGAAGACGGACGCTTGTGTTGCCTCCGAAACGTCGTGATTTTTTTATTTTATTTTTATTTTCCTTTTATTAATTTAAAGTTTTTACCTACGTGACTTTACCGAAAAAACCTAAGAATATGAATCCTTGCAGTCACGAAAGCTTCAAATCTAGAAAGATATTAATGACTTGGCATGGAATATAGGCCACCCCCATTAGGTAAAGACAAAGTGTACTACTTAGCAAATCTTCATTCAACATTTCATCGTCATCATCGGCCGTGACAAGTCCTCCTCCACCGCTGCACCCATATCGCGGTCCTGGAATGCAACAAGCCATCAAGCTCCTGAACTCGAGATAATTCCATCGCTCCATCTCTGCGATGGACGTGATCCCAGGTGTAATTACTTTCTTTGGCTTCCAAGTCCGTCTGGAACCAACGCCCGTGGTCCCATCTCGTGGCGTGGCCTGCCCAAGCCCACTTAAAGATTGCGCGTCTATATGTAGTACAGCACGAATGAATAATTTTCTGGAAGGCAATGTCACTCGGCATAGATTTTACGATAAAAGTCGATTCATAAACTCACGATACAATTGTGCGTGTAAATGACGTTTTGAATGCCATATGCAACTGATTAACTTGACTCATGGAGCCGCTAGAGGCGCTGTTAGACGGGTGAAGGGGCCGATACCCCTTCAAGTGTTGTATATCTCGGCCTGTAATATACAACTGTAGTTCAATAAATAAGTGTGTCTCCGACTACGTCGTCCAAGTCTCCTTGAACCTACTACAAATGCATAGAAACAATTCATTACATCGCAAGGGGAGACCAATCGTTACATCCCACATTTCCATTTCGGTATAGTTAGAAGTTAACACTCGCTCTGAACAACAAAATGCCCTAAAAATGGACAACCAGCCGAAACATCAGAACAGTATTTCCCTTTTAGTGCTATAACAAAAAAAATTCCAGGAAACACATAAATATCCTATTTTATCCATAATGCAGTGAGTTTTTTTTTAGTTAGATCGTGTAAATATATTAATGTGTCGTTAAAGCCGCCACCACCCGACACAGCCAATTTAGTAAGGTTTGTCACGTAAACATGACATACCAATTCGTTACCAGTATAGCACATCGGTGTGTTGGAGAGCAAAGCCGCAATATTGTAAATGTGTTGGGTGGTGGCGGGTTTGACGACCCATTTATATATTTATGCGATCTAACCCAAAAAAAACCTGCATTATGGATGATATTGGTCGTGAAAGCCTACGTGTTAAACATCCTATTTTATTTGCACCATTGTCTGTAATTGTGAAGTAAAGCCACAGCATAAGCGATCTTGTTTTCAGATTGTTGGAGCAATTATATTATTACTTTGTGTGTGTATATATATAACAAAGAAACACATGCATCAGGGGGGGAAAAAACACAAATCACAGAAATATTGACAGTGAAGAAAATCAAATGGGCTACTGCAGGACACACGGCTAGCCAGAACTATGGCTGATGAACGAGATTAATGATGGAATGGCAGCCAAAAGAGAGAACGTGTCCCAGAGTACGAGCACTGCAGAGGTGGAGTGATGAGATCAGTCCACGTGCAGGAGGAGCGAGACGGATAGTTTTAGCACTTGACCACGCTGGATGGTGACAGCGTAGAGAGGCCCTCATTCAACAGTGAATAGACAATGGTGATGGTGTATGAAACACAGGAGCATGATGCGATGCACTACGCTTGGCACGGGCCCACTGTCCAATCTCCGCACTCTTCGTGGGCTCGGTTGCCTCTCTGGCCCATGGGCCCGTGCAGTCGCACCGCCTGCACACTCGATAGTTACACCGCAACTCATAGGGTGGTCCCCCGGCACAGATGGTCGGTGGGGTCAATGGCTGGGTACTTGTGGCCGAGCCTCTCTATGGTCGTTTATTTTAATCTTGCTGGCGCCATCAAGCACATCTTGTCGGGGTGTCTGGTTTCTTTTGGCAGTGCTGCAGAGCGGCAGGCATCGCGCAGTCGGACTGTAGATGGCACTCACGAACAACAAAATGCAACGAAGCGCTCTCGTGGACCAATTCGTGCGATGACAAATGTTCCCTTTTCATCCGATTTTTGGCAAAACAAACTTTCCTATGTCTCCGTCACGGTGATGCGCTTTGGCCAATTTATCACGATATAATCATGTATGTTAGAGCAGTGACAGGCGGCAGTGAAAATGTATAGCCAAAGCATAAAACCCATTTATTCACCCCAAAAAGTTTCACAAACGTCTCAAGGCCACTTGTCAGGAGAGTCCTGCATTGAGATATTGGCCAATACCCTTAAAGAGAGATCGACTTCCATGTGAGAAGAAGCCAAAGTGCCTGGCGAAACCTGGTGAAGAAACCCCACGCATACGATGAGGTTACAACGGGCACTGACAATTCTTGGCCACCTTGCAGTCAAACGTTTACAACACCTGGAAAACGTCGATGGTCAACCAGTCCAAAAGGGTAAATTAGGATGTATATTCACGCCATGTGCTTGTATACCAGGGTTGATACAGCAGCACACCATCTGCCAACCAGGAGCAGCAGTAAACGAGTATTAATAGGATAGCACCTTATTTGGTGAACAATTCACCAGTGATCAGTCCATGAAAAGTTTGGCCCCAACCTAGGAATGTGGAAAATTCACCGCTGACTCAGGGCCGCCAATGTATAGAAGCACCGCTCCACGCTCGTTTGAACAGGAAAACGTTTCGAGTTCACTTGAACGCTATTTATACACTTACCTTGTGTGCGCGTGTGTCCATACATATGATACGATCATAGTAATTTCTCACTTCGCCGCACATCATTTCAGCGTGCAATTGCAATTCAACAAAAACATACGTCAAAGCTACCATTTAAGCTGTCCCCGAAACATGACAATTTCTGCGCCTTTCATTGCCGTTATTTTCACGACATTTACAAGTGAAATTGTCGCTTGTCTTGCCGACGCATGCACTTGCCAGTGTCTGTGGCGTTATTTTCTGAGCCCCGTGCCATTTTTTTCACGCAGGACACAAAAAGCTCGTAAATGAGTCCCACTGAGAAATGCGAAGCGTTGCAATCAAAGTGTAGCTAAAACACCCATGACTGCCATAAGTGGGCTACTCATTTCTGTTGTACATTTTTTGTGCCTTCCCTAAATTACATTTCTTTACATGCAGCTTTGTTTTTTGCTTCTGACAATCGCCTAATTGCCTGCAGGATTTGCATGATAAAAGGTTCCGTTTGCTTTTGATGGGGGGGGGGGGGAAATGGGGTGCTTCGCGTTGTTCAAAGAGGATGCAGTACGTTATTTAAAGGCGGTGAGCTTTGTAAGCATACCCCTGGGAGAATCCTGTTATCGATTGTTTCATTTTGACCACTTGCAGAACTACAGTATTTTCGTCGCGCGTCTATTGAACGTGGGCACTAACAGATCTGACATGATGGCCGAGCGTGACAGACTCATGTTTCGCTGCTGAGGGAGGAGTGGTGGCATCGACTCTCAAAAAATATCCGAAGCAATAAAGTAAGCGACTCATTTCACTGCGTTTTTTTTGTTCCCAGGTGAAAGTCTATTAAGTTACTTATCTTTACTCAGCAGAGCAGAGCCCAAGTAATGTTTGCATACGTTTTTATACAACGAAAGAAAACTGAGAATCCCATCATAAGCCAGTACACCAGCCTCGTTTTAGACTGAACTGACCTAGTGGAAGCCCATCAGATAAGCCACCCCATGCATGCAACGGCACTGTTCAGGAAGTGGTGGTCCCAGCTCAACATTTACGAGAGGTCTAATTGTATTTCTAGTACGAAATGAAATATACATCAAGAAGATGTATTTATAATTTGACATTCATGGAAACTCTCAAAAAAACACGGTTAATGACATTAAACGACCATCTAAAATGTTAAGGGGGACAAAGACCCCTCGATACCCTGGCACACCGGGGCGGGGTCTTGTGGTCAGGTATCGAACTGGGTGTTTGCTGATTTTATCGCTGTTTGCAAACGACCACGCCATCGCTCCACATCCTCGTGCAAACATTTACCCCCCTCCCACCCCCGTTACTTTCCGAATGTTGTCACAAAGACACGGCGTCTGCAGGGCCTTGTTTAATGCATGCAACTGTGGGTGTAGTGGCTGTTTTGTCATTGTAACTCACAATAATAACCATCATCGAGTTTCGCTGTGGATCACGTAGGTAAATTAGATAAATAAGCAGACTTAACGCTTCCCCTTCCCATATTTGTTTCTACACTTTATAACAAATTTGAAGTATTTAGTACACATCCCCTCGGCCATACGGCCTTCTGGGAGCACGTCTTTTAGGCAGCAATCGTTCAACTCAAGCCAACTCTGGACTGGTTTCGATATTCATTGTCGCATCAGTAGATTCGGGCTTGCTTCAATCAATGCTGGTGAACTGCCTGATGTATATGGGCAATGTACCTCTTCTGTTAAAAATAGGTCCCCGTTCGACACGAAACTATATACAGTGTAAACATAACCCAACATAATTTGTGAACATTATTTGCCTCGAAGCATAATGGTACACGTGAGTTTTTTTTGTTTAACCATACTTCACTATGCTTGTCTGAGTAGGGTGGTGTGAAGGTGCTGAACAGGCATGGAAGCATTGAAGAGTCCCAGAGGAAAACAGGATTTCGGGTGGAGGGCAAGGCTCTGGCTAAGCAATGGAATTACCCCAATAAACATAACACGTCCAATCTACTGCATTACATACGTACTCGAAAATGTCCATGTCTATGAAATTTCACGGTTCAAGATGTGGCACAGAAACGGTTCACCTTATCTGCGGTGGGTCACGGAGTCGTGGGAGACGTTAGAGATTACAAATCTCAGAATCAGAAAGGGTTTTATTCGCCATGAAAGTTTGCACAAACAAGGAATTTACTATGGCAGGAAGGTGCATACATTCAACATGTAGGAATCTTAAAACTTAAATAAGTGGTATACAGTCTAACTATACTAAAATTACAAAGTCTAACTTATACTCAGGGGCTAAAGTATGTAACATTTTAATAAGTATACAATATAAAATGTAAACTAGCCATAATATACAATCCTAAAATACAGCCTCTTCAACAAAACATAGTTAGTTGCCTGTTTGTGTTCCTCTGAATGACACACCCCAGGCTTGGAGCGACTATTTAAGCTGCTGGGATGGAGGGGGGAAGAGCGCCTTGACTCTGTCTTCTCGACAGACCTGTTCTCCACCTGAGGACGGCTGCTTGCGTTGTGGCCGAAACGTCGTGAGAATTGTATTTTATTATGTTTTATTTTTATTATTTCCATTCTACGTGACTTTACCGAAAGAACCAAGAAGATGAATCCCTGCAGTCACGAAAGCTTTAAATCGAAACACGACCCCCTTGTATACCAGGCGAGGTAGTTAACATCTTGCGTTGTTGAAGAGTTGTGACAACTTCGTACGGTAAGTCAAAAGCGATGGCAAAGTATAGCACAGATTTGCAAAGTTTGCAACATTAAATCCCAAATGTGACAAACCACCAGAGGTGGGACAAAGTCATTGTTATGCAAGTCCAAGTCGAGCCTCAAGTCATCAAATTCATGACTCGAGTCTGACTCGAGTCCAAGTCACATGACTCGAGTCCACACCAGAAACCACGTGGTCACGGGGGGGGGGGGGGGGTGAGTTTGTAGTTGAAGATGCGGTTCGTGCAGCAGTGTGTTTGTGTAAAGGGACGTAAAGTATTAACAGTTAAAATGCTTGCACGGGCAAAGTAATTATTTAACTTAATTTGGAGCTTTCGTGACTGCAGGAATTACTCTTTGGTTATTTCGGTAAAGTCACGTATAAAGATAAAATAATAAATAAAATAATAAATTTAAATGACATTTTTTTACATGTTTATTATTTTCTCTTTATACGTGACTTTACCGAAAGAAAATATTATTTAATTTATTAGTTTCCCTTTATACGTGAATTTACCGAAAGAAAATATTATTTAATTAATTCGTTTCTCTTTATACGTGACTTTACCGAAAGAAAATATTATTCATTATTTTCTCTTTATACGTGACTTTACCGAAAGAAAATATTATTTCAAAAATTATTTTCTCTTTAAACGTGACTTTAACGAAAGAAAATATTATTTAATTTATTATTTTCTCTTTTATACGTGACTTTACCGAAAGAACCAAAGAGTAAAGTAATTTAAATTCGTGCTAGGGAGTCAGGCACTCCGCCGCACTAGGCACCTAAAAATTTACCCGCGAAAATTTGGGGTCTTTCAACCGCAATGATTGATCGTTACGGACGAAACCATCACAGCGGCGGGGGTGTTTTATTACGGACACTGCATAGTCAATAACCACTTAACGATATAAAGAAAGATTTACTAATAATTATAATAGGTATTATGGTTAATTATTTAAAGGGTGGCTCTTTGCTTAATCTCGTCGAATTGTAACGTAGATGTGATTTTATAGGCTAAAGCGTGGACCCTATTATGAAAGTGGTACCGTCCGTAGTTAAAGTTTACGTGAAGCGAGGTCCGGCCGCTCTCTTCGGCTGCGCGCCTGGTCGGAGTGGCGTTTGCAATTATCGTCGCTACTTCAATTAAACAACTTCAACTTTTTACGTTCGTTGCAAGAAGCAAGAGAAACAAGTACGAAGACGTCATGTCTGCGACGGTAGAGGTGTGTATATTAATCGTGTTTAAATGTGCCGTAGTGTTGTGTGTTCGGTGTAAACACGTGGCGTGTAACACATTCATTTTTTCAAATAAAATTACTTGTATCAGTGCGAGATTGGTTGTTTAGCTACGATCCGTGGTACTGAAGTTGCAAAGTTGTGTTTTAGCCCATTGAGTGATGGTTGTACTCATTCGATTACTTCTTATCGACGATCCGCACTGACCAAAGTGGTGAAGTATGGTAACATTCCTAACACTGCGTGAGGGGGGCCTTCAGGGTGGTTTCGTCAAGAGGAGACTACATTATCATACTCTTTGATTGTAGCACAACGGGCTAGATTTGCATCAGGTGTGTACATTTGCATCTCAAAGCGTTGCGATATACAGTACTGTAAGAACATACAATGCAGTATATGGATTGCCCTGTATTGTTTAGTGCAATGGTACTGTGTGCAGTGCGGTTTACGTCCCGTGTGTATGAAGTGCTTCGGTTCATTTAAAGTTTTACAAGCCACGTCTTTCGTGGCCACCACCACACGTAGTTTGTGACCACCACATGGAAATTGACGAATAACTTGAAGAAAGCGCACGAAGTGCAGTGTCTGCGAATTTAGAATTCTAAACGAGCGGTCTCGCACGTACGTTGCAGTTTTAAGTGGATAACTAAAAAAATCACCAAGTTTTGAGTTAGAAACTTGACATTGTCGTGTGTTTTTAGGGCGAACATTAAAGGTCGCTCGCATATTAGCGCGGGAAATCTGGTGGCGGGAAAACTACGTCACCACCGCATTCCATTCATTCATAAACACGGCGGTGGGGGAGTGGCTTGCGTGATTTTTCCTTGAACCTTGCGACAATCTAAGTCTCTTTTAAGGTTCCAATTTATTATTATAAGTCCTCATCGGACATGGTCAATCCACTGCTGGATCATTGTACAATTTATTTGTATAGGAAAGCAGCATTGTCTTAAAGACTCGGATTTGGAGGAGGATCCATAATATTTAAGATGGTTGGTCCATTTATTTTTAAGGTTTTCACTTGTCTAGTAGGAAATAGAAGTGGCTCGTGTGAAAGCCACCCGGCATACGAAGGGGTGGTAATCCAAGCACCGCCCAGACGGATCAATGAGTAGACATAATCTTGATTTGAAGCTTTCGTGACTGCACGAATCCATGGTTCTTTCAGACACAACTCTTGTAAAGTTATAACAAAATGCCCTTGCTGGGGTTTATTTCTCCACTTCACCTCTCGTCTCACCTGTGCACATTTTGTTCTCCCTTACGAACACGGAAGCTGGCTTCTCTCTTCGGCTGCCCCAGCGACAAAGAAGAGTTCAGCGGTTTCCGTGAGACCGAGCTGGTCCCAATGGAGACCACATCGGAGGACAGCTCGGACAGTTGCACGTCCTCCGACCACTTCAGCAGCGGCAGCAGCAGCGTTGGGCAGGTGAGAACAGATCAACTAAAACACTTTTTTATTTATCTTACCAGGTAAGGCCCACTGAGCTGTATAGCTCTTTTTCAGAAGCGACCTGGCCATAAATGATAGCTCAATGAGGTGGCTGATCTCGTGGAAATGTGTAGCAGCCAAATACTCTAAACACATGTTTAGAGTAAAATTTACGCGACCACGGGGAGACCATTCAAACTTCAAATGTACAGGCGTCGGGATCGGACCCACGACCATCTGTATACCAGGCAAGGTAGTTAACATCTCGCCATCGTGGCACCCCAAATGCAACTAACCTTCCTGCAACTGTTCTCCAGACCCAGTCTTCCGATCAAGTCAAAGTTACTCCAATCCATGCTTCTGCCACTTGGACATAAAAGTCCCAGCACAGGCTGTCTGCCCAACCATAAACACAACATCAATTAGGAGGTGGGATGGAGGATAGCCAGCTATTCGGCAAATATCAATTACGTATTTAACCTATGATACATTCTACCAAATTACATATTGTTTTAATCGGTCGCTCCTGTAATATGAACACACAAACTGCCAGCACAAAACGTCAATGGCGGATTATTGAAGTTAAACTATTCTGTTTTGGAAACCCGTTAGTTAGGAGTACACGTTGGTTAATTAAACTGAATTAGTTATTTTACTTTGTAGTGGAACCCCAATGGCTTGGTTTGGCATCTCTAGATGGGGCCCGACCACGGAGTGAAACGCGATCGTGTAACGCGGTTTGGACGCGCGTGCAATGTCGCTAGGTACGCAGCCCCGAGGAGACAGCGTGCATGCGGGAGCTGGCCAAGCTCTTCCAGGACGACTCCGACGCTGAGAACGACACCTTCCACGGCTTCACCGACAGCGACGTCAACCTCAGCAACATGATTGGCACCATGGTGCGTACAGTGGTGGGGGGGGGGGTCGTCGGTGTGAGTGACGTAACGAGACGGGAGCGATGGAGCGATGGGAGCAAGCGGGAGTCGCGACTGCATCTTAGCGTCGTTACTTCCCGGTGAGCTTCCATGGTAAAATTTATCATGAGTGAATTTGATCAGCACACTCGTGTTACGTGCATCGAGTCGGGCATATAAAACATTGGTTTCGGCAAATTTATAAACTGACGTGGCAATTGAGTGACCAAACTGTGTACTTCCTTTCACAGTCGATGGAGTCCGAGTCGGACTTGGGTGACTCGATGGAGGTCCCGCAGCTGGACAAGGCAGCACCGGGCGAGAGCACGCCAGGCAGGGGCCGCCCATTCAGCCTCCGCGTCATGCTCAAGTTCCCGGTGGCAGGCAAGCAAGCAACCGGCAACAGCCCAACCAAAAACGACAACCACAAGTCCTCACCGCCTGCCACCACCGTCATTGCAAGCTCGAACTCTTCGGTAACGCCGCGCAAGCGGGGGAGGCCGTGCAAGGCTGCAGCCATCGCCGTTCCGGTTTTCCCGGTGGTTGTGCTTACCGAGCTCGCCCAGGATAACCCGACCAGGCGATCGCAGAGACGCACGTGCAAGAACGAGTTGCGACCCGAGCCAAGCGTCGCCCAAGGCGACAAAAACAACAACAGCAGCGTCGACGACGAGGTGGAGGAGCAAGTGCGAGATGAGAGGGACGGCGCGCGGGCGACAGAAAAGGTGGATCCGATGGATGAGGGCTCCGATTCGGAAGGCGAGGCCGAGCTGGAGCAGAAGATGGACTTCCTGACGCGGCGAGCGCTCAACATCAAGGAGAACAAGGCCATGGTGAGCAGTGGAGCGACGGTGTAATTGGTGGGAGTTTTAAGATTTGTGAATAAGAAAAAGATCTCTGAAATGCCTTTCCGTTGTGCCCCTCCCTAGTCATGTGACTTGTCAATCAGAATCATTGTTTATCCTGGAGAAAAACACCCCAAAAATGTCCGGTGTGACTGCCATACATTTTAACTGATTTTCACTATTGTTTGCTTAGAGGGCCTTGGCATAGATGTTATTTCGATTTTTAAACTCGTGCCAGACAAGCCCAGGTCACATGGCATAGGTGTATATATGTGTGTATGTATATATATATCTGTCGTGTCTGCTGCCTTTAGGATGCTGCATTAGAAATCCGCTCAATCGTACTGATGTAATTATAGGTTGTACTTCAGTCCCATTGCAAATGGAATCGATAGAACTTTAAATGTTGTTACAGATAAGTGGATTAACAGGTGCGGTCTTTTCGTACAAACAAAAACTTTCAGCCACGTATGTTGGTGGTGCGCTCTTAACAACGCTGTTATACTGCCGTCTCTGCTGCAGCTGGCTCGACTCATGGCGGACCTGAAGACCATGCCGGGGCTGATGGGAAAGTTTTCCGTCCAATCGTCAACCCCCTCGGTGCGTATGATAAGACGAGCACTGCTACGGTAACCGTACGTGTAACGACGCAATGCTGCCCGATCCACAAATACAAAAGAGATGTCACAGCGATGCACTACTCCGCGCTGCTCCTGACGCTGTTATCTGGTTAGACCACATGAATATAAAATTGTAGTTGTCGCTCTGCATCTACTACATCAGCCGTACGAGAGAAGAGGAAGACTGCCACGGTGTCGGTCAATGCAGTCGCCCATCAAAAAACTGCCACTGTACCACTCTCACACATCAGTCTTTTCTTCCTTACATTTTCCCCTTAATAATCATAAATTAGACTTATGTAGCGTTCTCCATCCATGGATCGCAGAGCGTTGTACACAATTTCCATACAAATAAAAAATAAACAGCATAAAAAACCTATTAATAATAGTAAAATGAGAGCACAAGACTGAAGATGAAATTAGGTGAAATCCTTCTTGAATAGAAATGTTTTAAGTCGAGACTTTTGGCAAAAGCGTTCCAGAGTCGAGGGGCCATGAAGGCAACAGCCCGGTCCCTCATAGACCTTGATCCTCTGTCTTTCATATCCGTGTTCACAACTTCCTCTTTCTAAGCGGGGCCGCTCATCCTCCACCCTGGTGTTTCAGTTCTTATCAGGTTTTGTCTTTATTCCATCAAGTTCCTCAACTTGGCCGTGGTCTCGCTTCATGGTAGAGATGCCGGTAATCACATTCGTGCCCATGCATTATTCAATCGATGTCGAGATATTTCTATGCATTGAGAGTCATTGTGGAAGTTATGCAGCTGGAGATAAGTGCACACATCGCAGTGAGTGGTCAACAATACAGAAGCCACAATTAACCCTCCTCTCTGAATTTTGTTTCCCCCAGCAGAAGGCCCGAAGGCCCCCAAAAGCAATGACGCCCGGGTTATCAGACGGTCCCGTACGGCGCAACCCGGAGCGGAGCACGAGGACAAACACACGCTCGCTGGGCCTCCGCGCGTCGTCGTCACCACCGTCCTCGCCCCACCGCTCGCTGGAGGAGCGACTCCGCTACAAGCGCAAGAGCTCGGACAGCGACGATGACGGTGACGATGAGGTGAGGGAGGGGAGTGGTTTGCCCGATGACATACGGGGCTGGGAGTTGGACTCTTATTAGGGCTCCCATCTGAGTGGTACATAGTTAAATGCACGAACGAGTTCATAAATGGAAACTTGGGTTTGTTCGGCCTTTGGTTGATCAGTTATTCGCTACCAACACTTTCCCCCAGCGGTCTACTAAATGCTACGTGGGTGGCGGTCTTTGTCTGCTCGTGTGTCAGTATCGACCCCATAGGAGACGCGGCGGATTCTGCAGCACCTCTGCCATCCTGCATGTCGTACGGAGTGTGGACGAGATCACCCAAGACGAGCTGACTCTCATCGCCGCCTCCACCTCTGACAAGAGTTACGACAAAGTCAACGTGAGTGATTGTTAGAAAATGTGGGCGGAGAAGATACGGGGTGGGTGGGGGGGGTATTGGCTGATCTCAGTTCCTCGGCAAGTCCTGCTCCGCTGCCGAACCAACCGAGCCGCCGGTTTTCACCGTTCGTGGTAACGGTGCGCAAGCCCTCGGCAGTGCCACTTCAGCTTTTTCTCGTAACAGATTGTCCCCGTGGCTATTCGTCAAGTTTCATGGAAAAATGTAACATTTGAAAATTGTGTCAACAGGGCAGCACGTGCCACCAGTGCCGTCAGAAGACATCTGACACGAAGACTTGCTGCCGGAACCCCGAATGCTGGGGCGTGCGCGGACAGTTCTGCGGGCCCTGTCTGCGCAACCGCTACGGCGAGGATGTTCGCGCCGCCCTGCTTGACCCCGTACGACCCTGTCTGCACCACTCCCACTAGCCAATTGCACAGAGTGCGCGTGCCAGTTCGTGATTGAACCAGAAGGGAGCCTGTTGAAAGTTTAATGGGGGGGAATTTAGCAAGGATACACCTGGGGTTGTGATGGTTGGCGTAAAACTACACTTGAGTCTGGGCAAATAACCCCTCACGACGACACAGCCGTGGAGAGGCAAAAATCGATTGGTTCTCGGATCGAATCGTTGCCCATGAATGGTGATTATTAATCTATCCAAGTACGAGAGCGGAAGTCAATAATTGGTGAATACTGTTGCTCGCTGTGCTTGACCGCACCCTCTCTACCCCTTCATCCAGGCTTGGCATTGCCCCATATGCCGCGGGATCTGCAACTGCAGCTTCTGCCGCCGCCGGGAGGGCCGCTGTGCCACGGGCATCCTCATCCACCTGGCCAAGTACCACGGCTACAACAACGCGCAGGCCTACCTGGAGAGGTGGGTGGCCAAACGTGAACGCAGTAGCTGATGAATAGGCACACCCTCCTTGGGAGCAAGGCAAGGCGTGCGTATTCAAATATTGACCAGGTTTATTGCCGATTGGCGGGGGAGGGGGGAAAACCCACCAACACATCAGGGAATGACAATCAAATACGGGCACAAATGGATTCTCGGACCTGCTTGATTGCGCATATCTACTGGCCACTTGGCAGATCAACAGGTTTAGGAGTTTAATAATTTCTAAGAGATCCACCGACACTTGCCCTCAAAGTGCGCTGGATTGCAGGCGTGTGTCGTCGCCATCACCGCCACAGATGGGTTGGTTCTCAGTGCTGCAGGCCAGAGTCCTGGTAGCCAAGGTTATAACGCTGAGCTTCCAATGGGGGTGTGTCACCAGGCCTCACCAGCAGGTGGGAGCATTGGGCAAGTGGTGCCCTCCAGGACGTCCTAGCTATGATTAATATCAGTTGCCTTGTGTGGCAAATAATCCCTCGACTGTGGATTGTCGGTCAGTTGAATGCTTTATGTTCAATCATGTGGGGATGCATAGTATTTGCCAAGAGAGAGCTTGTGGAAATAAAGCAATCCAGTGGACATGATAAATATTTTCTAGAATTTTTTTTTATTCCTCTGCTCTGTAGCTTCTGCAAGCTTCACTTGTTTCTCCATGGAAAGTTGCTTCCTTGTATTCTACTCCAGACTTCCTGAAAAAATCGATAACGTTTCTTAATTTTTAAAAATATACATGTGTCATCGTTTGGCCAACGGCCATTTTAAAATGGTGGACACGGTTTCCAGCATACAACGAACACGAGGAATTAAAATGATGAGCTAATTTTATCACGTAGTTGACGAGTCGATGGATCAGATTCATAATTTCAACAGTCGCATCTCTAATCGGTTCTTCCCTGGGTATTAATGACAACGTTGATTGGTGACACTGCATAACATTATCATCATTCGCTGTGCTGTGGCGTCTCGTTCTCAGCCTTCAGAAGGAGATTGACGATGAGGACTGAGGTGGCTTGGAGTTGCTGACACTTCTGGGCGCAAGAACCCCTCGGCCCAAGGCGATTTTGGTGCCGTCTCGCCATCTAAAACGCAGTTGTTAACATTGTTGCTTTCGCAGGGCCGCCTAAAGAAACCCTGAAAAAAAACTTGTTTATTGTTGCGTGACTTTCGTACCGTTAAAATCCTCTAAATATATTGACAAGGCCGATGGGTATTTTTACAATTCCTATTCTCATCTTCTGAGCAAAACCTTTTTGAGTATTTGAAAGATCGCTTGCGTGCCATTTAGGATTTTAAAACGTCAACTGTTGGTTTTATTATGGAACACGACTTACTTGGAATTTTGCACAAGTGCTGAAATCGCAGAACTTGATACAAAAACAGCAGTTCCTAATTAAAAACATCGTCAACTCATTCGGTAGATTTTTTTTTCTGTGATCTTTTATCGAATTCTAAAACAAAATTTGCACGTAAACAATGCATCACTCTTTTGGCACTTGGGCAATACACTTTTTGAGCTCTTTGTTCTGCTCAGCCGAGCACAGAGTTATTCAGTGGGTAAAGGCATAATATTGTTTTTCTAGGGTTGGTGCGTTGCTTTCATTTTACTTGTGGAGGTCTCATCTTGACTCACGGGGAAGCTAGCTGTTGTTTCATCACCATGCATCAATTTACATATAAAGCTTTTGAATTTCTCAAATATATATTTTTGCTTCTGCTAACATAAACTAGATACTTACACCAGGTTATGTTAACCTGCTTGTCTTATTCAAAAGTAACCGATTTTTTTGCGTCGTTCATTTCCTTGAAGTTAATGTCACGTTCAAAATTTTAACACAGCACTCACACTTTACTAGATTTTCTTGGACCAATTTCTGAAAACTTGAAACTGGTCACACACTTGAGTTGTATTAATGGCACGTACTGAATTACTACTGTTAACATACCAAAACAATTGGCCTAAAACACCAGCTATGACCTGTAATATAGATGTATATCATTCTGGTAAACATTTTTGCGATGTTTATAACCTAAAAAGTGCAGTTGATGGCTTGTGACTGTCTGGAATTGAAAGGATTTGATAAGGAAAATGCCTACTGATTCGAGTGGTTACATTTTCTTGCTCGACTAGGCAGGGTGCCTTTCCTGTAATTGTGTGTACATTTTCCATGGGTTTCGGGTATCTTTCTGCTTGTTCTGTTGCACGGTTCCGTTTTATTGCTTGGTGTTTATACAATGCTTGTACTGTGATTGCAAGAGCAGTCTTATTTTACGAATAAAGTTTCTTAAGTGGTTCTTTGCTTTACATTTTTTTTCCTTTTGGAAAAAGGTTCTGCTAGGATGAAATTTGTTCAACTAAAAGGGGATTTTAACGATTCAACGACTCCCAGTCATGTACAGAATGGTCACAATTAAATATAGGTGAGCATACACTGAAAACATTCTTGTAAAAGATAAATTCCTCCAATATCGCAAGTGGTGTTAATTTAAAGATGACTTGTGGAACAACGGCTTAAGATATCACTCCAGTACAAGGTGTACCAATCCATAACTCTTAGTATGACTTGCAATGCTATAATCATGGACAAATGTATGAGGATGAAATGAGGTGAGATGGATGTGGCCAACATATCTAACCGTGTTCCGGCTGGAATTAAAAACCGGAGATGCCATTCCACAAGTGGGAAGACACCAAAGACGGTCTTCCTGAAGGGGGTAACTTCAGCCTGGAACGCTCGCGAGTGCCGTCAACTCCGAGGACGAAGCCTCGTGGGAGACATCACAAGCGAGAGACGCAACGGGCGCGACACGTGGCATCTCGCCCAAGGGCAGCGGGTCCAGCCACCACGCGTCGCCGCCCGGACCGCGTCGCGAGTGGAGTGAATTGGAAGAGCTCGCGGTAACCAAAAGGGGGCGAACTTTCCTTCCCACCCACCCTCCCCTCCCATGTTTTTAGTCTTTTCCCCGAAGCTGCTGCGCACAGGACAATGATGGATTCGGCGACGCGAGGCAAGGCCTGGCCGCGCAATCAATGGGCGGCGATGACAAATTGGCGCGCGACGGCGTAAAGGATTTAATTAAAAAGCCTTTATGATAGATTGACGTCGCCCCGCGTGCCGTTTAACAAGGGTGCCCGTCTTTCTACGCTTGTTTTGATATTTAATGATAATAAATAACGGGCACGATTTGTTGGAGGTTGTGCTGCTGCTGCTGCTGCTTGGTGGTGGTGGTGTAACGCGGGCTGACTCAGTGGAGCGCGTTCGGGAAAACCTTGGCGCGGTGGGCGTTTTTCGCCGAGTTTGATGGGGGTGGAAGAAAAATAATACAAATTAAAAATGTTAAAGGCTCCTCAACTGCCTGGTGGCTTTCATTCCAGGCCTACGCTCCATTCATCCCAGCGAATAAAGTAATTGCGGTTGACGGCCGGTGACCCAAAGAGTGGTAGGCTTATTAACGAGTAAGTGAGTGAGTGGTGGTGTGTTGGGAAAGGACCGAGCAGAGTTAATGCCCTGCGGGTAAATTTAGACGAGTTGAGGATTTATTCGTGGCACAGCCCTCTGAGTTCTGACCAATTTTTGGAGAATAAAAAAGTATTGGATATATTCATGGGGCTATGATTAAATCACCCATAATCTCCCGATCCTCAAGAGTCTGGATGATGATGCTTTGGATGGGTCATCAATACGTAGTAGTAGGTTTGTACCCTTTAAACTGGTACAAAACTGACACCTTTATACAAGGCATCATGTTTGCAATAACCGCAACACAAGCAGTCAAAATGCAAACAAAAAGAAACAACTCTGATAATGGCAATGATATGCACTGTCCTTGAAGTTGATTGGTCCACACCCGAGACAGCTTTCCTTAGAGCCTAGTCTCCATTCGTGTTGGACCAGATGACGCCAAAAGGCGTACAACTCAAAAACAGCACACGATCAGAGTATTGAGAGCTCGGGGTAAGCATCAATACGTGTAAACAGGTCGTCACGTGTTTGCGCCGGTACGTGATGGTCAGCAGAGGGCATTGCCGCAAAATCGATTCTTGGAATGTACTTCTATGCTCCCACGTCCACAATGTATTCCTTCACCATCCCCCACTGACCAACGTGGCCAGATAACCCTGGCAATCCGCGCGGCGTGGGTCGAACATCATCCAGCAGTGGATTGACAAAAGGTTTGTGCCTTACTATCGTCTACTGCATAGCGCAGCGTTCTTCAGTGCAAGGCCCACCGACCACTGGCGGCCCCTGGTGGTCTTTAGTGCGGCCCCCGACAATAAACAAAGAGTGAAAACACCGCTCCGTCATCATCATCATCATCGGGCTGCTGTCAAACCCCCAATGCTTGAAAATGTGTGGCGGCCCTCACACTGATGATGTATTATCGGCGACAGTGCCCCCCCCCCACCCCCTCTTGAAATGAGTAAAGAACCCTGCTGTGTCCTCATGGGTGTACACCAACACCATGTGGTGTATGTACATATTTACTCGGGCACGTTACCATGCGATGATTAAACTCGAATATTCGGCTCATAATGTATGATTTGGCTCGTGAGTGTAATCATCGATTACGATTTAAACAAGTTAAATGTTAACCATTTGCTCAAAGACTGAACAAAATTGTACAAATGAGACAAAAAAAGATGAATTCCAAATGAAATGGGGAAAAGATAAATGTATTCAAACGGTGACAATTTCCTCGAGTGAATGGTGACGAGACGGTGAATAACTACGTCCGATTAGAATGTCACCGTGGTCTATCAGTACCAGGCATGTCACGAGTCATCGATTGCAAGCGATTATTGCGCTCGCATACATTCATCAAGACATCGATTATGTACACAATTATAATTGCACGCTAACGATATGCCCGTGTTCCTTTAGGCGAAGGGAACAAGACAAACACACGCGACAGCTTTAAAGTCTAGCACCATGGTCATGGATGTACAATGACACCACGGTCTGGCTCGTATGTACTCGGAATGTGCTCCTAGATGTAACATTTGGGATTATCCGAAAGTTTGACGTCGCGTGATGCGACCCCCATTATTGTGCAGACATACCCCGATTCGCGTCTTCCCCCTTTAACGAAGTTTCGCAAATGCGTTGTCACTTTGATGATGAACACGGCAACGAGCCGATTTGCGTCGCTTCAACTCCACGCGCTCACGTCGCTGACCAGCACAGTCCGTCATTCCCCGTTATCCGTCGCCACCAGCACCGACCCCTGTACACCGCTTCGATTTGACGTCGTTTCGATGTACGTCGTCGCACCTTTCAGGAACGCATCCCCGACCTCAAGGCGGGGTTAATTGCCGTACATCACTGTTGCGATTTTTCGTTCCAAAACAAGACTGGGTTCTGACGTTGCCCCTTCGTGAGCAAGGGAAGACGCATTAAATAATTCAAACATGAAATCACCGCACATTGTAAATCACACGAAACTTTAAACGACAACAACAACAAGAAAACCCTAATAAGCCACCCCAAAAAAAAAACCCACAGAAACTCATCCCTATAGTCAGTAGGTGCCCATGCACCCAGACACGGTGGAGCGTGCGCCAGGCCATGCGGTGCGTGGCGCGCGTGATGTACGGCGCCGCTGCTCTTTGGATTCCGCCGAGTTGGAGATCGGCACTTGGGCTGGGAAACGCCGCTCGCGCCGCGGGTATTGGCAGACGGCGCCATCCATCAGGGCGCGGCGCGAATTACGCGCATTGACATGGCGTAACGAGACGGGCTCGGACACACCTCGAGACGCCGCGCCGAGATGGGGAGGCCGCCACCTCGACACGCCGATATCCACCACCGTCTCACACACACAGACGTACAGACAGACACACATTGAGTTAATCACAGACATACAGACAGACACACATTGAGTTAATCACACACACACACACAGACAGACATTCAGTTAATCACACACATACAGACGTACAGACAGACACACATTGAGTTAATCACACACACGCAGACACACATTGAGTTAATCACACACACAGACATACAGACAGACATACATTCAGTTAATCACACACATACAGACGTACAGACAGACACACATTGAGTTAATCACACACACACAGACATACAGACAGACACACATTGAGGTAATCACACACACACACATATTGAGTTAATCACACACACACAAACATACAGACAGACACACATTGAGTTAATCACACACACACAAACATACAGACAGACACACATTGAGTTAATCACACACACACAGACATACAGACAGACACACATTCAATTAATCACACACACACAGACGTACAGACAGACACACATTGAGTTAATCACACACACAGACATACAGACAGACATTCAGTTAATCAGACACATACAGACGTACAGACAGACACACATTGAGTTAATCACACACACACAGACATACAGACAGACACACATTGAGTTAATCACACACACACAGACATACAGACAGACACACATTGAGTTAATCACACACACACAGACATACAGACAGACATTCAGTTAATGACACACATACAGACGTACAGACAGACACACATTGAGTTAATCACACACACACAGACGAACAGATAGACAGACATTCAGTTTATCACACACACACAGACATACAGACAGACACACATTGAGTTAATCACACACACATACAGACAGACACACATTCAGTTAAGCACACACACACAGACATACAGACAGACACACATTGAGTTAATCACACACACACATACAGACAGACACACATTCAGTTAATAACACAGACATACAGACAGACACACATTGAGTTAATCACACACACACAGACATACAGACAGACACACATTCAGTTAATAACACACACACATACAGACAGACACACATTCAGTTAATGACACACACACATATTGAGTTAATCACACACACACAGACATACAGACACGCATTGAGTTAATCACACACAGACATACATAGAGACAGACACACATTGAGTTAATCACACGGACAGTTCGTCACACACACAGACATGCATACATACAGACACACATTCAGTTGATCAAACACACACACAGACATACACACATTCAGTTGATCACACACAGACATACATACAGACACGTTGAGTTAATCACACACACATATTGAGTTAATCAAAGACAAAGATCCCTCGTATAGCCTTAACATACTTTTGGGGCAAGTGCTGTTTGAGAGCACCCATGAAGGTCGGGACGGAACACGAAGTGCTGGGTGGCCAGCACCACGCTGGGACGCCTTTGTCTCCCCATAGCTGATGTTTTACACATTGTGCCAGCTACTCA